GGTCCCTGGGGAAAAGGGGGATTGGGATGCTATTAATCACAGATCACACAGATTGATCCGCTAACAGGATCAGGCGATTAGACCCCGTTAATCCGAACCTGCTCCGAGGCTCCCGCCCCGGGGAGAACTCGGATTAAAAAACTGCCAGGTTAAATCTGCGGCAACGGCCAGATCAGAAACAGATAAAGCCCCAGGTAGGATTAAAGCGAGCCTATAGCCCTCTCCCCCCCACTGGTTAATTGGTTGTATACCTGGCAATTGGTTTCCGACTGGGGATTAGATATAAGAAACGACAAAATGAAAAATGATAGAAGACTGTTTCTGAGGAAACAGAATGGAGAGCAGAGCAAGCAATAATTTTTGTATGTATATGAGGATCAAATTTGGAAGACTTGAAGCAAGCAGAGAAGCTAACATTGAGAATCCTAGATCATGAGAGTGGAATTGAAGTGGAACAGTCAGTGAAATCCAATTTAAATTTTGTTTGATTAATGGCAGGATGGATTATGTTTGGGTTTTTATTTATTTGTTTATTTATATATTTTAGTGGTGGATTGTTTTGTTTGTTTGGCTTTAGGCAGGGCTCTGGCAAAATATAAATGAATGCCTGAAGTATTGCTGCTGTAGGAGGCTATGTTGGTATACCCACTAGTAATCCGATCTGCCAGCTTGCAAGCTCCATTTGTGTCCATCAGTAATAAACAATATTCTCCATACCAAAGATTTTACTATCAAAATAAATGAAACGTTATAGGTGTAAGTACAGGCAAGCAGTTTGATATCTAGCCAGGAGGCCTGGTATTTTTTTCTTTACCAGATGGAGCTGCATTTAATAGTAGGAGCTGTCACCCTATTATCTAGAGCCCTATAAATTTTAAATATTAATTCATGCAGATTTATTTATAGCCTAAGATCAAGGTATGCTTTTCATATTTGGACCAACTCTTAATATTCACATTGCACTATGCAAGTCTCTTGCATGACACGAGGAGCCCTCGTTTACATGTGCTCAGTCACCCTTGGCTGCTCCTTCTCCATCTAGGCACAGCCCCACAACTCTCTTACACCAGGGGTGCCTCCCCTGAGGGAGGGACCAGGATCTGCTAGATAGAAATTGGTTATTCCTCACTCTTCTCCAAATGCAAGCTTGATGAGGGAAGGGAGGGAAGAGCTCAATAAAAAGGCTGATGCCCTGTACAAAACTCAAAGGCCTGAGAAGTTAGTTCAAGTCCTAGGTATGCTAAGAAAATTTCACTGTGACCTTTTGAAAGCTGCTTTAGCTAAGTCTACTAGATGTCTTTTAGCGCTGAGGAAAGTCTCCCGGGCTGGTTAGGTACCAAGAACAGGGTATTTGCTATTTACACAGTGCTCTGTGTAGGCTGTTTAAACCCTCTCTGAGAAGTGGGGCATGCTCCAAGCTTGCGTATCTCTGCTCAGTACTGCACTGTATTTGTAGACATCCCTTGAGGTTCCCTGTGCTTCAGTCCTTATCTCTGAAATCCTCCTTCCTTGATCACACGTTTGTTCATGAACTCCACGGATAGGTGCTATTTCTTGCGCTACATTTGCGAGCACCTAGCAATGGATGTCATAATCTCTGGCCAATACTGTGATACAAGTAAATAGAAGTGATTCGCTGTTATTTACTGGTTCTGCTCTATCAGCCAGAGACATCAAGACAATTTTACACCCTTCAGAGCGAAAACAGAGGTAAGCCTGTAGGCAGAGGGAAAAGATTGTAGATTGAATTAATCTTTCAAGTATAGCAGAATCTGTATTACCTATTAGGCATCTGAAGTGGATGATCTGGATAAACTGTCTTGTTTCAGCAGTGGTATAGATTAAATGCAAGGAAAAACAAGGAGAAAAAAACAAAGTGCCACTTAACACAGCATAACTGTGACCATCAACAAGTCAACTCCATCACAATAGCTCTTCATCCCCAGGGAAGCTGGCTGGCTGGTAAATCTTCCTGTTGGCGGAGGGTTGCAGGAGCAGGAGGCCCTCTCCAGGCACATGCGCTCAAAAAGCCTCTCTTGAAAGGAAAGAAACTGTCTGTGCCCACTTGGATGCTGCTGACCACAGTGTTTTCCGCACTCTGAAAAGCACTTGGCTCCTCTCTCTCAAGGAAGAGAAAGGAAGCATTTCTCAAGGAACTGTTCGCAAGAAAGCACTTGCCCGCTCCGCAGCTACCCCGCCGGCTTCGTCTACATCTTCCTGGGCCTCTACTACGCCACGGGCCGCGGCAGCGACGTGCGCCTGGCGCAGTACCTCTTTGCTGGCCTCTACCTCCTGCACCTGCTGCTCGTCTTCCGCATCTACTGCCGAACCAACAAGGTAGCGCGGGGCTGCTTTTTTGCCTCCCGGGAGGCTGCGGGCAGCAGCGGTGGCTCCAGGACAGGCTGCTGATGGTGCTGAGTGCCCGCGTGTCCCTCCGTCCCCGCAAGGTCCCCCCGTACGTTTTCTTCTTCATGTGCTGTGCCTCCTACCGCATCCACTCCATCTTCGTCCTGCGGCTCTTCAACGACACTGTCGCCATGGCCATCCTCTTCCTCGCCATCAACCTCTTCCTGGACGAGCGCTGGTCCTGGGGCTGCCTCATCTTCAGGTGAGGATCCATGTGGGCTGGGACATCATGAACATAGCGTCGCTGCTTGCCCGGCCCGCAGCGTTGCAGCAGGAGGGCTCGTTGCTCCAAGGTCCCTTGTCCCAGCAGCTCCTGCCGGGGGCAGGAGGGGGGACCCTGTCTGTGGAGGGGGTCGTGCAGGGGCTCGGGCTCATGGAGGAGGCTGCACGCAGCGCCAGGAGGCCATAGCTTCAGCTCTCCTTCCCACTCAGCCTGGCCGTGTCGGTGAAGATGAACATCCTGCTCTTCGCGCCCGGACTTCTCTTCCTCCTCCTCAAGCGTTTCGGTCTCCTGGGCTGCATCCCCAAGCTCTGCATCTGTGCCCTGCTCCAGGTGGGTCCCTGCCCGCTCCCAACATGTCAGCTCTGGGGCAGGCAGTGGCTTTGCTGCGGCACCAGTGCCCGGCCTGGCCCCGTGCCATGAGCCGACACTGCGGAACGCGCTGATCCCGGGGCTGCTGCCTGTCCCAGGCCTTCCCCACGCTGCTGCCGGGCATCGCGGGGTGCCGGGGCCTGCGGCTGCTGAGAGGGGGCCACGGTGTGCCCTGCAGGTTCTGCTGGGGCTGCCCTTCCTGTTGGTTAACCCGGTGGGGTACCTCAGCCGCTCCTTCGACCTGGGCCGCCAGTTCCAGTTCAAATGGACGGTGAACTGGCGCTTCCTGCCCGAAGAGGTTTTCCAGCATCGCGCTTTCCACACCACGCTGCTCCTGCCTCACCTGGCTGGCCTGGGGCTCTTTGCCCTGCATCTCTGGCACAGGTGAGGCCCAGGATGTCCTGCTGTTGCTAATGCTGCTCCTGCCACCAGGCTCTGGGACACAGGACATGGCCCAGCGGCCCTCCTGCCCCCAGAGTGGCAGGTGTGAGTTGGGAGACGTTGCTGTCCCTTTGGGGTGGTTGTGTCTGAGGGGAAGGCTGGGGTGGAAAAGCCTGGTGGCATTTGAGATCAACAGCTCTACTTCCCTAGCAGGTCCAGAGAGAGCATCCTGACCCTGCTAAAGGATCCTGCCGAAAGAAAACCCCCGTCCCCTCCCTTGTCCGCCAACAATATCCTTTGCCAGAGCAGGGGGAAGGCGGGGAGACCTTGGGCTCCGCATCCTTGGGCTCCCAGCCCTGCCCCACAGTGAGGCCTGGCCTGATCATCCCGGGCTCAGCGGCACCCGAGCGGGCAGAGCTGCCCCAACAACCCGACCTGTTGGGAAGCAGCTTTTCCGCAGGGCCGGGGTGTCATTGCCGGGGGTGACTGGCAGCCTCCTGTGTTTGTCGCCTTAATGCCCGCGCACAGATCGTCTTCGTGCTCTTCTCCTCCAACTTCCTGGGGGTCTGCTGCAGCCGCTCGCTGCACTACCAGTTCTACGTGTGGTACTTCCACACGCTGCCCTACCTGCTGTGGTGCACGCCGACCGCCAAGCTCGCCCACATGCCCAAGTAGGTGCTGGCCGGGCCCGGGACACGTGGGGGCAGCGGCCCGCGGGGCTGCCGCGTTGCCACCGGGCTAAGCTGAAGCTCTTGGTGCTACAGGGTGCTGCTGCTGGGCGTCATCGAGCTCTGCTGGAACACGTACCCCTCCACGGCGTGCAGCTCCCTCTCGCTGCACGTGTGCCACGGCCTCGTCCTGCTCCAGCTCTGGCTCGGCACGGCGG